AACATGTTGGTGCTGAATTTAGTCACATGACCCGCGCGACGTATGGAGTCGATGTAGTGCGACATGAGATGTGTTTTCATAAGGCACCAAGAGGATGGCTGCTTTGGAAACGCAGCCTGCAACTGCTCAACGAGCCTGATGGGAGTGGGAGATGACAACACATGCAATCACAGAGTCTACTTATTCATATGGCTTCCCTATTCCTGATCCTTTCCTATCAAAGTTTAGCAGCAACATCCTCACAAGATTGCCTACTACAAGAGCACATTTACAGTAGCCAAGCATTCATCCCATGCACAGGGGTTTATATGCGTGGTATTATTACTGAGAGGTCATCTTCTTCAGCTCTCGGAGGGACCGCTCAGTGTGCCCCTGTGGCTGGGAGCACAGAATGTACCAGCCAAAATAGGCACGAACGGCATCCATCTGGGGCTGGCGAAGCAGGCCTGCAAAAACAAACACCATGACCTGCAAAGAATGTGGATAGCAGCAAAGGGGAGGGTGAGCACAGATGGTGTGAGGAGTTGGGACAAACAATGGCAGCATGAGCAGACTACTTGAGGGTTTAGCCCAGGACAAGCAACAGGAAATAGAGGGTTCATACCTGCATGACGGCCCTGTGCTCATAGGCCGCCACACATGCTCCGGTCTCGAAGTAGGTGCTCTCCGGCAGGCGCATGTGATTCAGGCGCGTGCGGTCGCGAATGAGAGACAGGCGCCTGCCCATACACATCAGTTCAGCGGTGGCAAAAGGGCAGAAACATGTCAGTAATAGGACAGAACTTATGGTTTGAGTAAATGTGACGAAGAGCAACGAATCCAATCCCCAAAACACTGACCTGTCCATCTGCTTCACACGCCGCTTCTTCATCTTGCGCACGACAGCCACAATGTGGCTCATGATGCCCAGGTCCGCCTGGTGCATGATGTCAAGCATCACCATGAGGTAGGGATTGCCCCACGCGGTCCCTGGGACATCCCACTTCCAGAGCACGCACTGGAAATGGGGATGTGGTGGGGAATGGAGGAGAGATGTACGTGAGAGTGGATAGCTAACCTAAACCACAAGTGGGGTGAGTTCAATGGGGCACAGCACATCTGGCGATTCATGATGGGGCGGGCGAGAGCATAGACTACTCATGGGCCGGGGAAACAGGTGACTCACCTCAACAGGGTAGGTAGAGTAGGCCTTGCACGGGTCAGCCTGGCTAGTTGTCGTCCCAGCCGCCTCGTTAACGATCCATTGTTGCTGTTCAGGCGTGCGAGGCGTGTTCCGTGCCTTGACAGCACTCAGATGCTCCTGTTGTAGCACGGGGGTGAGGGATGGGATAGAAAAGGTAAGGGTGGTAGCTATGTGGGTTCTATCAGGCGACCCACAAACGAGAATGTATTTGAATGCGTGCAGATGGCATGTGACCTCACCTTTGCAGCATAGCAGATGCTGCACGGCATCCGTGATCCATGCGAGAGTGTGCAACTAATCTTGCAGCTCTCGGGGTAGTCACACCCCCAGGCGTACAGAAGGGGCCGCACGGTTTGCCAATCACCGAAAGGGTCTCTGAGACGGAACCCGCTGCAAGGAACAGGTAGAGGGGCAACAGGAATTCGGGTTACGGCTTTTAGGGAGGAACGACAAGGGGCAAAGGGCCACGCTACATACAGAGAGGGTTTGCATACCATGCAGGTGGTGAGATGATGTCTTAGCAAGATGCAAACCGAGTACGGACCTGGCGATGCCATCAAGAAGCGGCTGCAGCACGGTGATGACGCAACGCTGGAAGAGCATCACCTTCTCCACGGCAGACATTGCAGACGGGGGGATAGGAAGGAGGGCAAGTGGTGTGTGCCCGACCCCCCCCCATTGCTAGGCCTGGGAGATGTTGGCCAGCGTCATCATGAGCGGCCACGCCTTCTTCCGGCCGTTGTTGCTCATGTGCGTCACATCCGAATATAAGATGATCCCCCCCAGAACTTCGGACCAACCGAAGTGTTCCTGCAGTGCACGACAAAGCGGCAACGGACACACATTCTAACACTCAAGATGCTCTTGACACATCAGTGCAGCGATGGAGGCATGAGCAGGGATTGGGTTTGGGGTGGCAACGTGGTATTTCCTTACCTGAGCATCATTCACGTTCCTGTTTCAGGCGTGGTATAGCGACGGCCGCCTGCGTCAGGGTCCTCATCAACACGCGCCTTGAGCTTGAAGCCGGGCGCGTTGTTTGGATGTCCAAACATTTCAGCGAATGCCTGGTGTACGGTGGCGAAGGCAGGTGAGAGGAGAGGCATGGTTAGTGGCGGTGAAGGTGGGTGTACGGTTAATACAAGGATAACTACGTACATGCAAACCCTGTGTGCCTCATCATCATTTCACGGCCTTGAATGCAAAGTCGGCTTAATTGGGCTGAATACTGAAAGAGCAAGCGCTGTGGTGGATGACCGTCAATCTCGAAGGTCGCCACCGACCATCTACGATTGAGCCCTGCCAAACGCTCCATCTCGAACCGCTCCAGATCCTTATAGTTCCGGAGCTCCGAGATCACAAGAGGTGCAAGGCTGGGCTCTACGACTAGCTGAAGCAGGCCGTTGATGTCAACCTCGGCCATTCCCATTCCGCCATTCACGCGCCGAACGAAATGCAGCAGCTTCAACGCGAGCGGATTGAGGGGCGTGGCATTGCTCTGTCCGGAGATGATAGTTGGCGGCGTGGCATGACTCCCTTCGGGCCGGCTCTCAGGATGGTCACTCGTGTCAGCCGCAGGAGCTCCTGGTTGTGGTTGATGTTCAGCTTCAGGAGGCCCCTCGTTCACGTCGTTGGGAGTTTCGTCAACGTGAGCTTCAGGCACGCGTGGAGGACCGCTCACACTGACGGCGTTGGATGCGTTAGACACTGTAGGTGAACCGGGAGCGGCTGGAGTGTCCGACAGAATGTCGTGGACGAATAGCAGAGCGTGAAGACCGGCGGTCGGTGCAGATCGCGTCGGCCTTGCCATGGCGGATAGTCCTTGGCAAGGGGTCCGCCGTGACTTATGACTGCCATAAACTTGGGCGTTGGGGAACCATCTGCTGCAGAACTCGCAGACGACGCCTGGTAAAGAGCCCATGTGTTACGGATCCGTTGTAGAGTCGAGAAATTGCCTATGAAGCTACTAGCCGTGATGAAGCTTGTGAACGCATTAAGTACAGCGTTCAAGAAGCCTGTGACAGCTACACGATAATCGCCAATGCGCGCACTATGGTGGGCGGCTTGTATCACTGCACGACTGGCACTTGACATTGGCGCTAATGTTTATGACTGGCTAACGATGTCGAGCCGCGTGGTCGTTACTAGGCACGATACAGACCGCCCACCTCACGGGCCGTCTTCCCTACAAGGCGTGTCGCCCCCGTTTAGAGTGACCACGACGTGAGCAGAGGAGAATGCGGAGGATCTGAAGTCTCAAGGTCGTGTATGTGCGTCACGAGCACGGTGAGAAGGACGTGCCTATTGAATCAAGAACTTGTGTTTAGGAACCGTGCATGAGAGTCGAGGGGGATGAGGAAGAGCGGGAAGAGATCCGTTTGGATCTGTGATTGTGTCGCGAATCGATATAGGGGGGAAATCAGAATCACGTAGGTGAGCTCAAGAGGCTTCAAACAAACATGGAAATGCAAATGTACAATTACAACTTAACAAGACACTCAAGTCATTCATAACTAGTAATTCATATCCTTAGGACTGATGTTGAACAACCCTTACTTGATAACGATATGGGAAGTATCCAATAACTCCATGCCCTAACGTATGATTGTTGCGTGGAGCGAATACCTATAGCGTGTCTTCTCTCGAGGTGTAGTGTACCTCTACGCACCGTGCTGAATGAATATGCAAGAATGGATTACAATGTCGTACAATAACACAACGGTTTCAATGTCCATGCAATGTTGGATGACAATGCAACACCATACCACAACGGATTCACCATGTCGCGCAACCCGCAAGCCTGAACGCTGCATCCTCGCACAGTCTAACCATGGCTATCGATAACGCATCTACGCTTGTGCGTTGGGCATGTGCTTCATACAACTCCTTCTAAGCACCTTGTTTAATGTCTCTGCAAGAATGGATGCCAATGCAACACCATACCACAACGGATTCACCATGTCGCGCAGCCCGCAGGCCTGAACGCTGCATCGTCGCACAGTCTAACCATGGCTGTCGACAACGCATCTACGCTTGTGCGTTGGGCCTGTGCTTCATACAACTCCTTCTAAGCACCTTGTTTAATGTCTGTGCAAGAATGGATGCCAATGCAACACCATACCACAACGGATTCACCATGTTGCGCAACCCACAGGCCTGAACGCTGCATCGTCGCACAGTCTAACCATGGCTGTCGATAACGCATCTACGCTTATGCGTTGGGCCTGTGCTTCATACAACTCCTTCTAAGCACCTTGTTTAATGTCTTTGCAAGAATGGATGACAATCCAACACCATACCACAACGGATTCACGTTTGTTACTATTGATAATCGTGTTAGAATGTCGTCCTCTGGCCCTAAACCATTGTGGCAAAGCCTAAAAGTGCACAGTACATCTGTCACAAGTAATAATTCTGGACGGTCGTTGTGTGTGTAACGTAAGAATCACCGATTAACTTACCCCAACCCCGTGGTAAACCATTTGCAACTTAGAGTTTGATGAAATGCATTGTTGTATGTTTGAATAAAATTTAGTGATTTATACGTTGGCAACCGTGATTGGCCGACGCATCTCAAACGATTCCCCCCGCAACACAGTCATCAGCCAAGAGGTACTTCACCGGCAGCAACGAAGATCCGGGGCGAGGGAGCGCGAGTCTTGTACTCCCGTCGGCGGAGATGGAGGGATCGGCGATGGAGGGAAATCACGGAGGCGATCCCTGCGCCGAGCATGCCGCAACCAAGGAGTCCAAGGCGGCGGCAACGCAACACCATCTGACGCTGCTCCAGCCGACCGTGGTCGAAGTTTCTGCAGCCATGTTGGATAAGGACAAGGTGGGGGAGCACGACTCAGTGGGGCTGGCCGGTGGCTCTCCACCTTCTGGTGGACGGGGGAGGCGTAGGCAGAGGAAGAGCGATCGAAGGATGATTATGACACCGCCGTGCCCGGGGACCTCATTACGCGGGCGAAGAGGCGGCAGACAACAGGTAGTGCTGACGACGCCGGAGGCGAGGCAGTTGGGACACCGCGAGGCGCCAAGGAAGCTAGTGGCAAGGCGGGCGGTCAAGCATTGCGCCAGAAGAGCCGACCCGCAGCAAGAAAAGCATCCGGTGGAAGGAGAGGCAAGAAAGCAGCGACGGGAACAAAGCCAAAACGGGGCGATGAAGACCGCGGTGATGCGGAGGAGGAGGAGGATGAGGAGGAGGATGCGGAGGGAGAGGAGGATGAAGAGGAAGCGGAGGAGGATGACACGGATGTTGGGGAGGATGAAAAAGATGAGAATGATGGCGGGGAGGACGAAGAGGAGGAGGAGGAGGAGGATGAGGAGGAGGAGGAGGAGGAGGAGGAGGAGGAGGAGGAGGAGGAGGAGGAGGAGGCAGAGGAGGAGGAGGAGAAGGAGGAGGAGGAGGAGGAGGAGGAGGAGGAGGACGAGGACGAGGAGGAGGAGGAGGAGGAGGAGGAGGAGGAGGAGGAGGAGGAGGAGGAGCAGGTTGACGACGAGGAGGAGGATGTGGAGGAGGAGGAGGAGGAGGAGGAGGAGGAGGAGGAGGAGGAGGAGGAGGAGGAGGAGGCAGCGGAGGAGGAGGAGGAGGAGGAGGAGGAGGAGGAGGAGGAGGAGGAGGAGGAGGAGGAGGAGGATGTGGCGCCAGTGAAGGGACGGGGCGGGCGTGGCAGACGGGTGAGTGGTACAGGGAAGGAGGGGGGCTGGACTCGCCCTTCCCGAAAACGCGGGGCAGTTGACACTTCGCGCGGCGAAGCATCGGGCAAACCGAAGGCGCGTAAGGTGAAGGTCGAAAGTGAAGGGGTTGGTAAAAAGCAAGGGAGCCAGGGAGCAAAAGGGGATGGAGGAGGAAAGGGTGGCCACGCCAAAGGGGTTCCAGTGGGTACCAGCAAGAAAGAACCTGCTGGTAAACGTCGCAGCGTCCGCCAAAGCACCCCGCGGAAAGGTGGCAACGAGAAGGCGCAGGCTGCCCCAAAACCGAAGGGACAGCAGAAAGGTGAGCATTATGTCCAATAAAACTGGCGTGACATGTTGAACCATCTGCTAAACCGTGCCAAAAAACACCCTTTTTTCACATTGTTTCTCCCATGCAGGGAAGGAGAAGGTCGACGAATCTGCCAAGCAAGGTAAACCCTCTTGTCTCAAACCAGTACAACCCTGAACCCGATCTAGATTCAAACCTTCCTGAATATGCATGCATGTCTGGCCCCGCCTTGAAACCGATCGACTCTAATTATTTTTTCCGGCTCCCTCTACATCTCAGCCCCTCGCGTTATAGGCATCGGGCCGCTCGTTAGCGTGCAACGAATGCATCTAACAAAGGCTGCCGGAAGAGCGAGTGTTACACCGCTCTCCTCCAGAGCACCAAGGTACTACACGCCATGGGCCAGCCCGAGCATAGTCGCTGCGACGGCACCAGGCGCGCCAAGAGGAGAGGAATCCGAATCCCCTCCACCCGCCCCCGTCACGCAGTCCCCACTCGCCTCACCCTCGTACCAATTTCGGCAACTCCACGCTTCTCCTGTCCGGGGCAGGGCGGTCTCCCCTCTCGCCGATCCTTCGCGCGGGCATCAGGCCGGCAGTTATGCCAATCCCTTCCCTGAGCTCCCCTTTTCCCGCTAGCGTGATAGTGTGAGGGCACACGGGACTGCTGCAGAAGACGTTGATCCCCTTGGCCAGAGGGGGGATTCTTCACACCCTTTTCCTCCGCTCATGGGTGCCCTAGGTGAAAGTGCGGAGCACGAGCATTTTGTTACACGGGAGGAGTTCCAGGCGCTGCGGTCTGAGATCTACGCCATGTTTGCACAGCTCGGCCTGCGTCGTGGAGTACCTGCCAGCTATGCCAGCGGGTCGGCAGCCCTGCCTATGGCTGGTACCCCGCCGCCGATGAGCGCCGTGGACAAGGCACGAGTGCTAGTGTTGCAGGAGACAAACCCATTCCCGGTATGTGGCGGGCCAAATGGGGAGGGTTGGGGTTCACGTAGCAACAAGGGCGGGGTTGGGGCTGACGTGGCGGTTTCGAAGGGAACACGGGAGCGGCGCGTGACGAGGCGACGCGTATCAGGTGGGTGGGGGGTGACGTGGCATGGGGTGGGTGGGTGTGACGTGGCAAGTGGCGCGGGTTGTTGGTGGACGTGGCGGATGCGGGTTGGGTGTGATGTGGCAAAATGTGAGGGTTGGGATATGACGTGGCGGTGTGAAAGGGTGCAAGGGAGTGCCGCATGAGGAGGCGAGGCGTTTCAAGTGGGTGGGGGGTGACGAGGCTCTTGGTGGGGGGTGTGACGTGGCAAGTAGGGCGGGTTGTTGGCAGATGCTGGGGGGTGTGACGTGGCAGAATGTGAGGGTTGGGGCTGACATGGCGGTTTGGAATGGTACACGGGAGCGGCGCGTGACGAGGCGACGCGTGTCAGGTGGGTGGGGGGTGACGTGGCATGGGGTGGGAGGGTGTGACGTGGCACGTGGGGCTGGTTGTTGGTGGACGTGGCGGATGCAGGAGGGTGTGACGTGGCACGTGGGGCTGGTTGGTGGACGTGGCGGATGCAGAAGGGTGTGACGTGGCGGAAGGTGAGGGTGGGGGATGACGTGACAGATGCAGATGGGTGTGACGTGGCGGAAGGTGAGGGTTGGGGATGACGTGGCACCCTAAAAGGGTACACGTGAGCGGCGCATGACGAAGCGAGGCGTCTCAGGTGGGTGGGGGTGACGTGGCTCTTGGTGGGGGGTGTGACGTGGCAAGTAGGGCGGGTTGTTGGCGGATGCAAAAGGGTGTGACGTGGCAGAATGTGAGGGTTGGGGCTGACGTGGCAGTTTGGAATGGTACACGGGAGCGGCGCGTTACGAGGCGACGCGTGTCAGGTGGGTGGGGGGTGACGTGGCATGGGGTGGGAGGGTGTGACGTGGCACGTGGGGCTGGTTGTTGGTGGACGTGGCGGATGCAGGAGGGTGTGACGTGGCACGTGGGGCTGGTTGGTGGACGTGGCGGACCGGAGGGTGTGACGTGGCGGAACGTGAGGGTTGGGGATGACGTGGCGGATGCAGGTGGGTGTGACGTGGTGGAAGGTGAGGGTTGGGGATGACGTGGCGGTTAGAAATGGTACACGTGACCACTGCGCATGACAAAGCGAGGCGTGTTAGGTGGGTGGGGGGTGACGTGGCTTGTGGTAGGGGGGTGTGACGTGGCAAGTGGGCTGGGTTGTTGGTGGACGTGTCTGATGGCGCAGGGTGTGACGTGGCAATTTCAAACAGTGTTGCTAGTCACCATCCCATGGTCACGAGGCCACCCTCATAACTGCTGGTTTCTCTCTTCCATGTCGTGTTGTATACCTTACACCCCTGCGCAGAACAAAGCCTACTTAGTGTGCTCTCAGCTCATGTTTCTGAACCCGCCGGAGAAAATACAGTACTACCCTGCACCGGAGGAAGTGTTCGAAGCGTTCTCTGTCCACTTGTCTGCAGAAGGGCTCGAGGCAATGAAGCTGCTGTGGTTGCACAATGACAAGTCAACCATGGGAGTCTTCAACCACCAGCTGTCCTCAACAAGGTCAACTATCAACTCCACCCTCAGGCCAGCAGCATACACCGGCATGGGCCTTGCCGATTACAGCCATCTCGTGGATAGCCTGCCCACTGAGCTACACCCAACGACCTGGTTCGACGACGATCAACTCCTAGCCGAGTACAGAGATGGTATGTGCAGTGCAACTCGAAAACACAATATGCCCTACCATATGCCCCTTGGCAGCTACATATCACCGTGCGATCTGGCTCACCCTAACTCTCATCCCCCCATTTGATTTCTCTACAAAACCCTTTCCAACCCATACCCTCCCTGCCAAAAAGCAGAACAGTGGGCCCCCAACTGGCACTTTGACAAGGCCACCGGGACACCCTTCAGCAACCCCTTGTTCGCTTATGTGTTCAAACTCTCCTTCAAGAGGGGCGGGGCGGTGTTCACCAAGTTCAAGAGCCGCATGGTGGCATGGGGCCTGTTTTCGGTAAGGATGTAGATATGTGTTTGTACCCCCATGCCTCATCCCCTTAACCCCTTGCCTGTACTTCAGCTAAAACCCTGGACGATTAGGCCTTTGCAGTTACGTAGATAGTGACAACTGCATCACCGCTTTCAGTTGCCTCATTTACCCGTAACCTACCCTCCTCATAAACCATCCACCCAACCCTACACCACATTGCAGATCGAATGGCCCCTTCTGCAGAATAAGCGTCGCAAGCGAATAAGTAGCCAGCCGGAGCAGAACAGGCCAGACTACCAGGAGTGGTGCGAAAAGGTCAAACAGATGATCCATTTTGCTGTCGTGGAGCATAGGATCCCCCACGATCCGGCTATGGGTGCGTTCGTCTTTCCGAGCAAGTTCCTCATCGACGACGGCGACCTTGGAGATGTCGTCCTTGCCCACCGAGCGCTTTCGAGGCCCGCCAGTGCGTAGGCTATTCGACCTGGTGCTAAGACTGCTTGTTGCTAGAATGCTGAATAATGGTTCTTGTAAACCGCAATAATAAATGCAATTTTGAAATCCTCAATATCCAAAATGAACAAAAACAGAATTTAGTTCTGAATAATTTGGTCACGAATTTGCAACAAAACGGATTGCGCCCGAATGTCATCCGGAAAAGCTCGCGTGCCAAATTGGAACTTGAACCGAGCCAAACCTTGTCGCAAGATGTGTCTCGGAGCTCCTATCAAATGACTCCAACCGTCGGTCCAAATTGGCTCCGGATTTTTTTACGCGAAGACAATCGAAATCAAAATTCGTCCAAACTTGGCATAGGGATTTTGTGATGCCCATTCTGCTGTGGAGAGGCCGGAAGCGTGAACGACTGGGTGATGCCGTGCTCCTCACAGAAGGCTGTCAAGAGGTCGGAGGAAAACTCACCACCTCTGTTAGAGTGCACACAAAGAACGGGAAACTCCGTCCTGAACCGCTCGCGGAGCTGGAGATGAGCAGCGCGGATCCAAGGGATCAAAACATCAGGCACCTCACCCTTGGTGCACAAGGGGAAGACCGTGGTGTAACGCGTGTAGTCGTCGACAACCAGCAGGAAGTACCGCTCGTGGCCCTGTCCACGGACGCGGGCTAGGCCCCACATGTCCAGGTGGAGAGTCTGCAGGGGAGCCTCTATGAGAGGGAACGAGGAGGAGTGAGGAGCGGCGCGCTGCCGCCCCTCGACACAGGGAAGACAGGGAGGAGCAGGCGAGGGTGGGAGGGGAGGGAGAACCATGGGAAGACCAGAGACAAGGACACGGCGGTGCATGCTGCGAAGGCGCTGCACCGAGGGGTGACCAAGGCGGTGGTGCCAAAGGAGGGTCTGATGCGACAAGGCGCGACACGAGCAGGGGGCCGACAACTAACCTAAAGCAGATGCAGACGCAGCTACCTGAGGGGACTCAGTGGTTAGGGTGTACAGGCTCGAGCCAGGCTCACGGGTAAACGTGGCCAGGTGTCGACCCGTCTGAGCACACGTATAGTGAGTCACTTGCTGACTCGCAGGAGTGAACTGGTCAACCCCCTTATCCTGGAGGTCAGCTCCACTCACCAGGTTCGTAGAGAATGAGGGGAGGTAGAGACCTGACAGCAAGCTAGACGGGGCGGCCGGACACGGCAGAACCGTGGAGTAGTGGGCAAGGACTGGACCCCCAGAGGGGTCTGCCAAGGAGACTGCAACTTGCCGACTAAGCGACGTGAGTGTGGTGCAGTCGCGAAAGAAGGAGCGGGAAGATCCTGAGTCAAGGGTGGAGGTGTGCAAGGTCGCAGCAGGCGAAGTACCAGAGAGAGCAGACTCACCAGCACCTGGAGCAGCAGCCTCACCAGCACCTGGAGCAGGAGACGCACTAGCACCTAGAGCAGCAGCCTCACCAGCACCTAGAGCAGCAGGCTCTATACCTGGGTCAGGCGGTACGCACAGGTAACAGGCACGGTCAGCACTAGTAGGCAATGCATACATGGCAGTGAGAATACCATCATAGTCAAGAGTAAATATATCTACCCTCTGCCCAAGCAGCTCCACCTAGTCCGGGAGCTCAGCCTCGTCGCCAAACTCGGTACGCCAGGCGTCGCTCAGACGGGCGAAGCAGCGGGACTGTGTGTGACTAAGCGTCCCGCAAGTCTTACCAGTTCGAGCACCAGTGTGAATGACGTAAGGGCAGCGAACGGTACTGAGAGACCTCTACTCTGAGCGTACCACTCACGAAGCTGCTGGGGCGTGCGAGACTCGCGAAGACGTCGCTGGAGCTGCATCTGGCCACCGCCAGTAGCAGCAGTAGCAGTAGTAGTAGCAGTAGCAGCAGTAACAGCCATAGCAGCAGTAGCAGCGCGGCCACCCCTACAACCCCAACTAGCGTACCACTCACTAAGCTGATGGGACGTGAAGGACTCACGCGGACGTTGCTGGAGCTGCATCTGGCCACCTTCAGTAGCAGCAGTAGCAGTAGCAGTGGCAATAGCTGTAGTAGCAGCAGCAGCGCGTGCAGGGCAGGCGCGACAGGTAGGCAGGCAGGCAGGCCGGCAAGCCGGCAGGCAGGCACGCAGGCCGGCAGGCAGGCGGCGGGCAGGCAGGCAGGCGGCGTGGCAGCGCGCTAACAAGGCAGGTGCTCACCAGTGTCGGGAAGAGCAGGCGCTCACCGGGCGAGCAGGGCCGGTGCTTGGCGGACGGCGGCAGGGTCGGCGCACGACGGCGGCGACGGCGGGGCCGCAACAGCGGCTACAGTGAAGGGCCGCGTCAGCTGCAGGGCTGGGGCCACGACAGCGGCAGGTCAGGGCCGCGGCAATTGCTGCAGGGCTGGGTCGAGTCAGCGGCAGGGCGGGGCCGTTTCGGCTGCAGGGCGGGGCTGGGTCGTGTCAGCGGCAGGGCGGGGCCGTGTTGGCGGCAGGGCGAGGCCGTGGCGGCGGTAGGGTGGCGCGCGCCGCTGCCTAGGGCCGCGCACTAGCAGGCAGAGCGCGGCGCGGGCTGCTTGGACGGCGCGCAGTGCGCTGCGGGCCGCAGACGCGCCGCGCGGGCTCTAGGCGGGCTGCGCGGGGCAGCGGCGGGCCGCACGCACGCTGCGCGGGCTCGGTGCGGGCCGCGCGGGGCAGGTGTGGGCCGCGCGGGCTCGGGGCGGGCTGCGCGGGGCAGCTGTGGGCTGCGGCAGCGGGCTCGACGCGGGCTGTGCGAGCCGTGCGCGGGACGCGACGCGGCTGCCGAGGCGCGATTCGGGCAGGAGAGGGCGACCCGCGGGGGTAAAAACGAGGCAGCGCGCTAGAATTAGGTCTCCACGCGAAGCAGCAGCAGACAGCTCAGACAGTAGACAGCATGCAGATAGTGCGCGCAGCGCAGCACGTCCTAGGCACAGTGACAGGCACATTTGTGGGGTAGCGGTAGGTGGGCCTGAAAAAAAAGACGGTCCTACGGACCTACTGCTCTGAAACCATCTCGGAAGTATAGGCAGGAATGAATGAACTATGGAAGAGTTGGGTACAAATGTCAAACCCTAGAAGGGGTTGTACCCCATATTGGCTATCCCACTACAGCCTAAACATATATAGCATACATAATCTGATAGCAGATGTGGCAGATCCCGGTCCTCCCTTGGCGGAAATTGGGCAAGGCGGCAGCAGCGGCATTAATGAAGGAGAGCGTCACAGAGGAGGAGCAGCACGGTGCACCAACGTTGCAAGTCCACAGTGTGCGCCAACGCTGCAGCAAGTCAGCTGCACAGCGTTGCACCCGCAAGATAACGGTGCACCTGCTTCGCATGTGCGTGCAGCTGGTTTGCGCTCCACACCTTGTCACGAGCACAGCGCAGACGCCTGGCAGACTCCACGCCAGCGACTGCGCCCACCAGCCACGTCGACCTCGGGATACCAGCCCCGAGGTCGGCCTCGCAAACGTCACCCTGGCGACCTTCGCACACGTCGCCCGGGAATCCCGGTCGACCGGGCAACCACGCCTGTTCGACCAGCTCGGTCGCTTGCCGGCAGCACGAACCCGGCGTCCCCAATGTTCGGCGCCCTCCACCCTGGCGCCCTGCTGTTCGACGCCCAGCTGCTCGGCGTCCTACTCCTAGACGCCCTCCAGCTCGGCA